GGCTTCCAAAGTTGAGTAGCCCTGCCTTAGCATGTTCTCCTGGAGTTTGTCCCTGACTCTCACTGTTTCTTCCCTTCCACCCCTCTCCACCCCATGAATTGCAGCCAGGCCACTTCCCTCCTTGTTTCATGCTGCCTGAGTTCTAGCCAGGGGAACTCTGAGCACAGGAGACAAATCTCCTGCTTTCAGTTACAATACCTGGCCCCAGCTAGGAAAACAATTGCAGAGAAAGTCCTACTCAGAGATAGTCTCTGTAATCCCGGCTTATTCTATGTTCAATGCATATGGCCTCTTCCAATAATTTAGCAGCTAGATTAATAAACCTCAGAGCATGTTCAAGTGTCAATTTCTGGAAGACTTGTAACAACCTAACTTGAGTAGATTTTGATATTACAGCAAAAGGCAATTTCTCTGAGCCTAGAGCACCCTCCCTGCCAAATTTCAAGTACTTTTTTAAAAGATTATATAGGTATCACTATCTAAAAAGGTAAGAATTTAATGTGGGTATTTGGGGGCGGGGGGGGGTGATCTCAATTTAGAAAGACCTGAAGATTTAAAAATTATTCCTCTTGGAGCAGGCACTTGGCATGGAAAATTTCAGCCATGGAGTTTGGCAAAGTTAGAAGCAATTCACGATGCAACTTGTAAATGGAAAAAGTTAAACTAACTATAGGCTTTGCTGCCATCCTTACTTATAAACACACACAACTTACATAAAGCACAAAAATAAGTTTTCAGGGAGACACGCAGTAATATTAAACTATATGCTTCACATGCAGATTAAATTATTCCATGTAACACCACATTCCTTGTTTTAAAATTGCCTCTAATATCTGAAATGAAGTCAGCAGTGACCAAACAACAAGTCCTCACCTTCATCCATTATCTATAACTGCAGAACGGAATAGAATTTTATCTTTATAATTCAATATTTTAGGATCGTTTTATATCAGATGAACAAACTCAGCTTGTGATGTACAAACTTATGAGACAGAAATCAGCACAGTTTGATCTTTCTGAACCAAGTCAAAATCCATATTATAAATCTTTTAGTTTTTACATAAAGAAAAAAAGTGAGCTATGGCTGATTGAAGATAATGTTGAACATCAGTTACAGTTTGACTATAGTTCATCCTTAGTTTTTCCTAGGGCCATTCAGAATTGAACTAAAAAATAAACAGAACTGATATTACATGAATCCTTGCTCTAGAATTGTAGCAGATGTGAAAGTTTTCCTATTTAACTACAAAATCTAGAAAATTAAGCAGACCATCAAAGGATTTTATTGACTGAGTTAAGCAGTATTATGGACAAAAAGGACTTTTTGGTGTTTTGATGAGGGGGAGAGAAAAAGAAAACACCCTGCTGTTTTCCATTGTTAGACTAATAAATAGTATAAACACAAAACTGAATCCTCTGCAGTTCTAGACCAAAATATTTTTCATCTAGTATCAGGAGGAAAAAATAAAAAGCTTGATTTTGGCCACGATGAGTTTGTTAACAGATGGCCATCTGCCACCAGATGTTCTGGGTCAAAATGTAGTTTGGAGGGCTAAGAGTCTGCATTAGCAGATCTTAATGCAGGATCTGAATGTAAAGGAATAGTTGAGTCAACTACTCGCATTTCCCCACATACTTGCTGCCTCTATATCAGAGGCAGTGGTGGGGGGAGGGGAGCGGGAGGCGGAGCAGCTCTGCAGTTTAAATACAATAAGAGCCACTGGGCTCTAGGCACAAAGCAGGACTAAGTATTATCTAAACCAACCCTGACAGATATTTATTTAACTTGCTCTTTAAAATTTCTAACTTCCTTACACAATGTATTCTAGGGATGTTAGCGTATAGTCAAGTCAACAACTAACTGATAAACCTGGACTTATCAGTTAATCTTATCAACTGCACGCACTCACCGGCATGCTGCCTCTGTATCAGAGGAAGCAAGGGGAAAGGAGCAGGAGCCGGTGCCCATGAGCAGCAGGCTTTAAGCAGGTTCCCCATGAGCACCAGATCCACCTGCCACCACTCTCCGCACTGCTGTTTCCAATAGAAAGGCAGCAAGACGGAGCATGAGCTGATACGCACGGGAAGTTGGCTTTCAAGTCAGCTCCCCATGCGTATGGTCTCCTGTGAACCCACCTCCTTCCCCTGCTACCTCATTAAAAGTCAGCTTCCCCCAGTACCAGCTCCATGATGCCACCTGCTCCTCCCCCCACTGCAGCCTCTATCAGAGGCAGCGGGGTAAGGAGGCATAGGAGGCTGCCACAAAGCAGCCTTTGCCCATGTGGGATCCAACCTCTCCATGGACAGGGTCTGTTGCTACCCCAAGCTGCTGCCTCTGTATCAGAGGCAGCAGTGTAAGGTGGCAAGCAGACAGTCCTCAAGAGGAGCTGGTTTGTCAACTGGTTCCCCTCACAGACCAGCTCCCACCTGCCACCCTGCGAGTGGGGCTGGAGCACACTGGCTGCCAGCTCTGCTCCCGGGAACTATTGAATAGTCATGTAATTCCTAAAATTTCATGCAGTTACTTGACAATTTAATTTCACGATACTGAACATCCCGAATGTATCCCAATGCTTAACCACCCGGACAGTTAAGAAGATTTTTCCTCCCCAATGACCAACCTAAACTATATTTTAAGCCCATTGCTTCTCGTCCTATCATCAGAGGTTAAGGAGAATATTTTTTCCTCCTTTCTCTTTTAGGTGCTTGAAAACTGTAATTGGCTAAGTCTACATTGGCCCCTTTTCCGGAAGGGGCATGGTAATTTTTGAAATCGCAATAGGGAAATGCGCGGGGGATTTAAATATCCCCCGCGGCATTTAAATAAAAATGTCCGCCGCTTTTTTCCGGCTTTCAGAAAAGCCGGAAAAGAGCGTCTACACTGGCCCCGATCCTCCGGAAAAAAAGCCCTTTTCCGGAGGATCTTATTCCTACTTCAAAGTAGGCAGCAGTGTAAAGTAGGAATAAGATCCTCCGGAAAAGGGCTTTTTTCCCGGAGGATCGGGGCCAGTGTAGATGCTCTTTTCTGGCTTTTCTGAAAGCCGGAAAAAAGCGGCGGACATTTTTATTTAAATGCCGCGGGGGATATTTAAATCCCCCGCGCATTTCCCTATTGCGATTTCAAAAATTACCATGCCCCTTCCGGAAAAGGGGCCAATGTAGACGAGCCCATGATGTCCTTCCCATCCTCTTTCCCAAACTAAACCAACCCATTATTTTTCCTATCTTCCCTCATAGATCATTTTTTCCTAGATCTTCAATCATTTTTGTTGCTCTCTCTGGACTTTCTCCAATTTGTCCATGACTTTCCTGAAATGTGGCACCCAAGACTGGATAGAATTCTTCAGTTGAGACTATTATTTTTATTATTGAATCTGCAATACCCTGCATAATAAATTACAAAGATTTGTGCATATTTGTTTTTCCTAAAGTTAATTAAATATTTTAGGGAAAATTGTCAGAGTAGGCACCAGCAAGTGACTGCACTTCGAGGTCATCAAAAATTTGAGAACCCCTGATCTAGGTTGTATTTTCCTAGTTTGTTAATGAGAAAATCATGCAAGACAGTAGCAAAAGATTTACTCAAATCAAGATTTTCCGCTTCCCCCATCCACTAGAAAGAACTATTAGATTGGTTTGACACAATTTGTTCTTGACAAATCCGTGCTAAGTTACTTTTCACCTTATTTTCTAGATGTCTGTAAATTGATTGCTTAATTATTTTCTGCTTTATCTTTGTGGGTACTAAAGTTAAGCTAACTGTCTATAGCTCAGACTGAACTCTACATAACTCTACATAACCTGAACAAAAAAAGCAGGATTTGCATCACTGATCATGCCACTGAAAGAATGGCATCATAGTATATTATATTTTATAACAAATCTCTAATGCTACATTTAAAATAAATTAGGCTTAAGATATGCATATACATAAAATCTTTCATCCTTTACTCTTGGCACTGAGAGAAATCTGGCCTGTTTAATTTAAAACTCAATGATTACTGAAAAAAGTTACTGCTTGCATTTGATTAGAATGATAATAGTCAGCACAATGCATTCCAACTATTTTTTCTGTTTTGATTCCGCAAGATACCACCCCTTCGTAATGCCACTGGGAAACATAACATAACTCAGACACACTTGGGAACAAATCTCTATTTGCTAAACTTCAGGGATCATGCAGTGGAAGGTACCTTGTAAGAGATGTCGGTGACTTCTGATCAATAAGCTACAGAAGAACAAGAAGCAATGGGCTTAAACTGCAGCAAGGGAGGTTTAGGTTGGACATTAGGAAAAAGTTCCTAACTGTCAGGGTAGTCAAACACTGGAATAAACTGCCCAGAGAGGTTGTGGAATCCCCATCTCTGGAGATATTTAAGAGTAGGTTAGATAAATGTCTATCAGGGATGGTCTAGACAGTATTTGGTCCTGCCATGAGGGCAGGGGACTGGACTCGATGACCTCTCGAGGTCCCTTCCAGTCCTAGTATTCTATGATTAAGACTCTAAAGTCCAGCAGGACCACAAATACTATTGGGCCAGAGTCCCTACTGGCCAGGTTCAGAAGCATAGCCCCGGCCAGGGCCAGGGCAGTGCAGCCCTGACTAGGGCTGGAGTCAGCTGGGTGCACAGCCTGGACCAACACGTGGGAGCGCAGTCCAAGCTGGGGCTAGAGGCAGTGCAGCTGGCCTCTGTCCAGGACTGGTGCGGTGGGGGAATGCAGCCCTGGCCAGGTGTGCCCAAAGGGGGGGCTGGAGGCAGCAGCAGGGAGTGCAGCCCACCCAGCAGCAGAGCCTACAGCTGGGTAGGAAGCCTTGACCTCCCCTCATCCAGCAAACTCCATTGTTTGGGACAACTCAGGTCCCAAGGGTGCGAGACAATGGAGGTCCAACCTATACTGCAAAATAACTTCAAAGCTTTTAATAATGTCATTAAGATCTTATATTGCTTAAAGATTTCATTATAGTTTAGATTAAATTATAATTCCTGAGGCCAACTTACCTGTTCACCCTCCGAGGACACTTATCTGGTTTAATATCCACCTCATAGAGGTAGACATCAATCTTTGGGATTTCAACTTGGAAGCAGTTGGCCAGCAATTTAATAGGTTTGCCCATGGTGCCATAGCCGGGACGTCTGGGCACCATAAGAAGGGGCTGTGCCCCGACGGGTCCTGTAAAGGAAACAATACAATTTAGAAGCGAAACATAATGGTTAAACTATGTGGTAAAGTTACAACTTGGTTCTATTATAGCATAGTTAAAATTCATACACTCGTTACAACACACACGACAGAACAAATCAGGTGATATAATATCTGAACAGTGAACAGCCTTCTTGGAACCTTAATCATAATCTTATACTTTGTGGGGAAGAGATAAACCATTTTAAGAGAATAAAAAAAATTAGAAATATAATGCAAAAAAGTCAAAGTCTAACAGAAGACAGCACCATGAGACCCAAACCAATGAAAAAGGTATCTTGCAACTAAACCATCAGCTTCTTGGAGAAAGACAAAGGCTTTCAAGAAGCCGTGTAAGTTTATATTCAAGTACAGGAAAACTCCAATAGTCCGGCATCCAATTGTACGGCACTCCTGATAGTCCGGCATCAAAATGGCAAGAGCCTAGTAAGTGAGCTTCGGCAAAAAACAAGTCACAAGGCAGCAGTGGCAGCAGCTGAACCGAGTGAAAAGTGTAAAAAAGGGTTAAAAAACTAAAACATTATAGTATACTGTATACAGTATGTACAATAAAAAAGGTTAAAAACAGTTTATATACAGTATATACTGTATACAGTATATATGTAAAACCATTTTATAGTACCTCCTGATAGTCCGGCATATCTGATAATCAGGCACCACTTAGGTCCCAGAGGTTCCGAATTATCGGAAGTCTACTGTAACATGAAAAATGGGATGGTACTCAAAAGCTCTGTTTAAGTTTCAGCTCTCAAACTAATGATACCAAGCAGACCTTCCTCTCCTTCATTTTCTTGGTGGGAAAGTTGAAGTGAGAATCTTTAACTTCTATGACTGCTGTGATCAAAAGTGGGGATTTCTTAGCAAGCCACTAAAAATGCACATTTTCTTCTGAACAGATCTTTATCGTGGAAACCCCATTTTAGCCACTACTAAAATGGAAATAGTTTTAAAAACTTGTTTACATATCATCCTACTGCAATGGACAGAGGTGCAAAAGAAATCACAGGATGGTCTATATAGGGGAAGGCTCATATACTTTGCATGTTTACATAGTAAAACATGCAAGTATCAATGATACAATAGCCATCCGTGATTCTGGAAGGCAGAGATTACCCATGTCTAGCCATAAGAGCTGAATGAATAAACAGTAAAAGCACCATCGTAGCTCCCTTTGCCAAAACTCAGCAACCCCAAAAAGAAGTGTAGCTGAAGGGTTTCAAGCAATGTCAGTGTGTTTCATTAACGAAAAATAAAATTAACCATCCATAGGTATTTTATAAAATCAATAAAATCTGAATAGAAGAAGAAAGGTGCTTTTTAAATCTGTACAATGTATGTTTCTGGCTAATTTATATAGCATTCTACGTTAATGCTGCTTCTGGTTCTTGAAGTATCTTATCTATGTCTTTCAGGCTATAATCCTCAGCACCGGAACTAGGCTACAATAAGCCTTGCCCAGAACCAAGGAACACCATTCATTTTAAGAACTTACAGTCTCCAAAAAGTTAAGACTGGAAATCTTTGCTTGCTGATAATTCTTTCCCGTCAAGAAACAAACTATAAACACAATCTTATTTTGAGTTGCTTTGGAGTTTTTAAAATTACTCATCATACAAATGTCATGATTTGCAGTGTTCAACTAAGCCAGTTAAAAACTCTCCCCTTTACTCCTACTCAGTGACGCAGATTGTACAGTTCCTGCCCACTTGCTTTTCTTACAAGAGTTAAAATGTCAAGCACTGGGAAAAACTGTCTTATTTGCCATTTGATAGATCTCATAACCCTCCAGGCATGGTCATTTCCCTTTATTTTGAAGGGACCTGTGTGCTGGAGAACAAGAATTACAAAGCAAACTTTGTACTGTAAAGGTATCCAGTTTTACACCGAAAGATACACACACCCAAAACCCAAACCAACAAAATCAGAAATCTCAACACAAGACTGAAAGTAAAAGCAAAAAACATCAGGCACCACATCAAATGTTCTCACACATTATACCTTGGAAGCTGTTGTTCGCAAAGTACAAACTAAGTGGTTTATAAACTGAAAAAACAACAGATACAGGCAGTCCCCGGGTTACGTACAAGATAGGGACTGTAGGTTTGTTATTAAGTTGAATTTGTATGTAAGTCGGAACTGGTACATATTGTAGGAGAAACTCTAGCCAAACGTTTCTCCAGAGCTCAGTTTTATTCTCCCACACCTCACTTCCCTCAGTCCTTTATTCTCAAGCTGAGGTGTCTGCTGAGAAAAGCCACTCCGCGTCTCGCTGGTCTGCTGGGGGGCAGGGGCGCTAGCTTTGCGTCTCCCTAGTCTGCTGGGGGGAAGCAGCCTGTGCAGGGTTGCCTCACCCCGTTTGTAAGTAGGGATCCGATGTAAGTCGGATCCATGTAACCCGGGGACTTCCTGTAGTCTGGTAGCACTTTATAGACTAACAAAACATGTAGATGGTATCGTGAGGTTTCGTGGATTGATACCATGAGCTTTTGTGGATTGATACCAATCCAATAAGAAAGAACAGTTATGGAATAAATTGTTCCAGATTCATTTTAGCCATACAAACAAAAAAAGAGCAAAAGATAACTATTAGAAAATATCAGAAAATCAAAATAACCTCCACACATATGACCAGGGCTTGACAAACGGCGGCGAAATCCGCTCGCCAGCCCTGCACTGTGCATGCGCAAGACCTGCATTGTGCATGCGTGCACCATCGGTGAACAGGGCAACCGACTGAAATCTACTCACCACGGGCGAATAGATTCAATGATTTGTCGAGCCCTGCATATGACCCAATAACTTACAAAAAGATGGTTAACGAAGAGTATGCTTTCCATAGTTTATGGAAGGCTCACATACATATGAAGTATACGTTGAACTTCTCTGGTCCAGCACCTCAGTGCCTGACTGGTGCCAAACCAGAGAATTTGCCAAACCACTGGAGGTCAATATTGTCTAGCAGCTTTACCAACACTTCAACTCTTAGAAGACATTTAGGGGTAAATTAGAGGTAAGTACCAGCACAGAACACAGAGCCAAGACTGGTGGGTGTATACAAACTTCATGAGACCACTGGCAACTTGGCCACACTCACTGTAAGTGGACATCCAGCCAACTAAAATCATGCTGGACCAGAGTGCCAGACAAGAGTGCCTGTACTACTGCAGCTGGCAGAATCCGAGAATAGTACCTTTTAACCTTATTAGCTAACCTTCCAAGATGAAAATTAAATGTAAATGATAAGTACATTTATCAATGTAGCACCAGTTAATGTACTTCAAATGGCCAACTTGAAGATGCAATTTCTTAACTATAGTCAAGCACGGAGAAAGAGCAAGAAGGCAAAAAGAGCAAACACACCCCACTATGGTGGGCTTTCTTGCAAACCACATTCTCTGAAAAGTAGGGATGTAAAATCAGTTAACTATTCATATCGCTATTGGAAAGTGTTTTGCTAAACTAAATACTTGTACCATGGACTCCTTGTCCCACTGTAACCAAACCACACATTGTAAGACTAATCTACATGGCAATGGCTGAAGAAATTCTAGTAACCCCATTCATTTACTTTTGTTCAGGTTAAAAATCCTAATGCTCAGTTGCATGTGACCACAAAAAAAATTAGCTACTTTTAATTGGGCAAGCTGCTGGCCTGCAATTTAAAAATCCTGAGTGCTATAAATGGTACACCCAATCCACAAATGACTATAAAGATAAGTTTCCAGCCTCAACTCACTTACAAACAGTACTCAACAGCAGAACAAATACCACTACTTTGCCAAATTCCTTCTCTAGAGCCCCTCATTCAACTGCACCCCTTACTACACTTCATGAAAAAAATGTGCACCTCTAAGTATGCATTCTTTCCAAAGAGCAGGACAGAATATATGTGACATTCTTTGGAATGGACACAAACTGAGGAATGAAGAACCACCACATATAAAAGATTATAAACACAGGCCTACACAATTACAAGCTTAATTTAGTTTAACTTAATTTTAAATAAGTATAGCCAATTCCAATTGTTTACTTTTTTTCTTTTTGAGATGTAGGTTGTCATCAGAAAAGATATTTTAAAAATATAACCTCCCATGGATATGCTTTCAGTTAATTCCCATCCGCCACTGTCCCAATAAACACACGTATGCTTAGAATGCCTGGCTTTTTAAAATATTTGGGCGCTTGTTTGTGTATTATAAAAATCTGTGTCACTGACTTATAACTGGTGACTCAAATCCCAGTGAAAAGTGAATGAAGTGTCTGAATGCAAACTAACATTCCTATCACCACATCAGTGAGTCACTTATCCTAATGTCTTAGAATTTAGTAAGTCCAGTGGAAATAAATATGAAGACCAAACATAGTACAAGAGTAACTTAATTCTAATACTATAAAGTAGGAATACGATTTATAAGGCCAGTTAATATTAACTTCCCCACCATAAAAAAAAAAAACATAAGCAGTTGATGTTTCTGAAATCTCTTTCTAAAAATATTTCAGCAGTGCCTAACTCAGTGACAAGTACAAAGCAAAAGTTCCTTCAGGGTCATCATATTGAGAAATAAACCCAAAACCTACACAAGGGCAAAGTAATCAGTTGTTAAAAATCTTGTAAAAGAAATAAAAAAACTAGACTTTGGTTTATAAGTATTATTCCATTTTTCAGATACTCAAAAAATGCTTTATGTAATGTTTGTAACATTTTCACATCCCTATAATGTAACTGATTACACAGTTAACCGATGAGCCCCACGCTGCTCCCTCTGTGTCTGCACCTTCTTCCCCCCACCCTCCTTTAACCAATTAACCAGTTCCCCAAGGAGCAGCCTGCTGCAAGCGTAGGACTGCTCCAGCCCAGCACGGCAGGGGCCGGGAGCTGGCTGCACTGGTCCCTGAACCCTACCACAGTCTAAGAATGTTACATTTCATTTGATCAGTTAATCGAGTAGTCTCCGGCCCTGGGAGCTAACCTCACTGCAGCTCTGCTTTTTAAAAGTAGTAACAGCTGCCAGGCTCGCC